GAGGGGGAGGAGGATGGGATGGGTGCTCGAGGAAGAACCTGGAGTCGCAAGCAGAAGGGGGGGGGGGTAAACCACTGCCCGTTTGCCCCGCCCAGGCCCAGAGAGTACACGCTCATCAGTTTGCGATTTTGGGGCCGTGGCGGATGAGGCAAGCATCGACGGAAGATGTCTTCTCATCCTGCTCTCTCGTGCCCATCCTCACAAACCCCCAACCTTCTCCATTCCTTCCTTGCCTTCTTATCTTGTGCCCACCCTTCTCTTTCCTCCCCGTCCTCCTCCTCATCCACATCCCTCCTCCTCCTCCTCCTCCTCCTCCTCCTCCTCCTCCTCCCTCCCTCCCTCGTCCTCCCCCGCGAGTCCTCATTCATCCCCAAAGGCTCCAAAGCCTGAGAGCATCTATCACATGGGGGAGATCGCCTCCAGATGGAGCAATGAATCACAGACACACACACACACATCCACAATGTCGGCCGAACCTTCAAGTGAAGAGTGGATGTTCTTGAGCCTCTGACGGGCCCTCATTCCACACCCAGATCCCCGACGTCACGATCTTGTTAACCATGTGCCTCCGAGCCCTCGACCCCGTCTCCAAGACCAACTGTGTCGCGGGTAGTATTGCTGACGACCCTGGGGGGCCCGAGCCGTGCGTCACGATGCTTGCGACACGAGGGGAGCACGGACTCCCGATCATCCTCATCCTCGTTCTGCCTTTCCTTGGGAGCCCCCAAACCAGGTGGTGAGATATCAGGTGGTGACCTGGAATCCCCAAAAAGTCACCCCCGGGTTTTGGGACACGGGCTCACCGCCGGGTCTTGTGACTCCTGGGCCCACCAGCGTTCGGGACATCCTCGGACAAGCGCATGAGTCCCCAAACCGGGTGGTGACACCAAATCGCCCGAGACTCACCGCCAGGTGTTGTCACCACCACGTTTGGGGATTACCAATTTCCCGCTTCCTGGCCATGACTCGGGCCTCCGGAGGCCGCGCGGGACGACCCAGGCACCCCCTGGGAAGCGCGCGACGAGGCGCCGCTGCTGGGAGGCAGCGCGGGGCGAGAAAGCCACCACCAAAAACCACCAAGCCCTGCCAACGCAAAGCACGAACGCCGACCTTGGACCCCCCCCTGGGGAAATCAAGAGGTACCGGTACCGCTACTCCCCGGACCTCTCCTGGGGTCGCGTCCTGACCAGGATTTCGAAGCGAATCCAGCGGTGGCGACGTCGGCCTCCCAGGAGGCCCAAAAAGGGGAAAACGAGGGAAAGATAGAGGTATGGGTACCTTTCCTCCTCTTCCTCCTCCTCCTCCTCCTCCTCCTCCTCCTCCTCCACAATTACTCAATATGAATACTGCTCTCCCTCTTCCCCAAATGACGGTTTGAAAATCCGCGGACCCTGTCGGCGTGTGGAAGATGCTTTTCCGTTCGTCGTGAACGTCGTCGTCGTCGTCGTCGTCGTCGTCGCAGCCGTCGTCGTCGTCGTCGTCGTCGTCGTCGTCGTCGTCGTCGATGCTCTTCCGTTCGTCGTCGTCGTCGTCGTCGTCGTCGTCGTCGTCGTCGTCGCCCTCCCCTTTGGCGCGCCAGCCAAAGCGAAACCAAAGCGAAATCGAGCAACGTCGTAGCTGAGTCGAAGGCACAGCGAAATTGAGCAACGTCGTAGCTGAGTCGAAGGGAAGCCCCTTCCCTTTGATCCCTTCCCCGCAAGGGGGGGGGGGTCCCGGGGGGGGTCCCGGGGAGGGGGGGGGGGGGCAGATACGCATCCCCCCCGGGATGTCCCGGGACCTAGAAAAGCCCCCAGACTGGCCAAGAGTGCCCCAAGAGGCTTCCAAGACGGCTCCAGAGGGCCCCGAATCGCCGAACCATCGGTCGAAGACGCCAAAGTAGCCTCCAGACGGCCCAAGAGATTGCCAAGACGCTCCAAGAAGTCTCCAAGAGCACTGCCAACAGGGCACGAAGAGGGAAACATCAATGATTTCCTTTAAGTTTTTGACAGATTTTGGCTTTCTCGCCGTTTCAACTTGCCGACGCTCCAAGACGGCCCCAGATGCCCCCAAGATTGCCCCAAGATAGCCCAAGAGGCCTCAAGAGAGCCCCAAAATGACCCAAGAGAGCCTCAAGACCGTGCAAGATGCCTCCAAGATGGCCCCAGAGGCTCCACAAACGGCTCCAACAGGGTGCCCAGGACGGGGGGCCCGACGAGCCCTCGGCGACAGAGGCTCCCAGGAAGCCCCAAGATGCCCCCAATAGTTTGTTTTGTTTCCTTCTTCTTTTTTTCTTCATTTAATTCCCCTGGGCAAGCATCACGCCTGGTGAATGGCAGACCGCAGATGCAGAAGCCCAATACCACGCCCCTCACACCAGTTAGGCAGCAGCATTGGTCACGGCTGCACCGTCACGTGAGTGGGTGACAGGCGCATGGGCTGCAGCGCACGACGCGGGCATGGCTTGCGCGAGCGGGGGCGCACTGGACAGCACCCAGACCAACGTCAGGACCAGAGCACGACCTCACAAGTCAGCTGCCGTTGGAGCAGCGAGCGAGTTCGCGCCGACACGGAGCACCACCTGCATCGCGGCCGCATTGGTGTCGCAGAAGTCTTTGATCGAGGCATGTGCTGTCGCCACTGCCGCCGAAGGAGCCGGGCCGGCAGGCGCCCAGTTCTTGCAAGCATTGCCCACCTCGACCGCAACCGCATCGATGGCAGCTGCATGGTTCTGCGCAATCATGGCACCAATGGTGGCAAGGACCTGCGTGTAGTCCGACGCTGCCGTCGCAGCCAAGGCGGCCGTGGCCCTCTGTTCCGGCGCAACGGCACTGTCGACGGCGGGGCACCACGTGGATGGCGCGATCATCGCTGCAGCCGTGTCCGCCACCTTCTTAAGAGACTGCGCGCCCAGGATGGTCGCGGAGGGGTGCTTGAAGGTCGTGGAAGGCGCGACGTCGGCCCGGCCAATGAAGGAGACGGTCAAGCTCTCGTCGCTTGGGAAGCCATAGCAATGGAACTGCTGCAGGCCGGACACGTTGCACCCGGTGTCGCGGAGCAGAGAGACCGCCTCGCCCATGATCGCGTTGTCCGAAAGGTGGTCACGATGCACTTTCGACGCTGAGAAGTGCAGGGCCACGATGTCCTTGAGAGCCTCATTGCCGTAGGCCGTTGGCACCGGCTGCGCAGTCACCTTAAAGAAGCGGTGCCTCTTCGCGACTTCGATGGGGCACCTCAGGAGGAAGTCCCTCGTGTTGTTCTTCGGACGGGGAGGCATGTAAATGGAGTTGTTGGCCAACTGTCGCGTCTTATGTGTGATGGCGCGAGTGGCGCGGCCCTGGGCGCGTGTGATCACCTCTGTCGTCGCCGTCGGCTGGCCGCTCTGGGCGGAGATCCACATCGCCATCCTGGGACCTCGCGCTGTGGTTGTTGGGGTCTCCCCATGGTCCAGGTGCTCTTTGTCCTGCGAGGTGGCATGGAACACCGCGGTGGACACCATTGCAATCTGCTCGAACTCGTCATCCGTCATGGCAGCGACCTGCGAGACGACACCGCGGGCGGCTCTCGTCGCGGCGGTCTCAGCAACATGCTCCACGTGGTGCGCGACTCGAACCTGATTCCAGGCCCGGAGCATCGCCCTCGTGCGCCTTTCCCAATCCGGCGGCACGAGACCGGCAAGATGCGAGGTGGCGCCAACTGCCATGTCGAGGTACGGCACCGACGCATCCACAACGGCACGAACATCGCTCAGGACTGCGCGAGCCAAGATCAACTCCGTCGGCCGGTAGGCTGCATCCTCCATCACCTCGACGTCTACGAGGGATTGTGTCATGGTGCCGTGAGGTGCGCTGAACATGGCCAGAGGCGACGCGTTGGCGGTCGCAGTACCGGTGGAGTCTACCTGGAAGGCAACTGCATCTGCAGGGCAGACGTCCATGGCTACCGTCTTGATGCACGTGAAGAACCTTGAGTGCCCCGGCGCCGGCGACACCGCTCCATCCGGCACGTCGGCCTCGCCGCCGCCGTTGTCAAAGGCGCTGATGTCCGCAACGAGCAAAGCCTACCCGCCCATGTCGAAGCGCAAGCCATTGTCCTCGATCCACTCACGCCACTCCTGCGAGAGGTCCGGGGCACCAGCGGGCAAACCAGCATTGGTGATGTTCATCATCGCCTGGACCGCCTGGTCCGCGATAACGCCGTAGTTCACCGGGATGCCAGGGCCAGTGAAGAAGCCTCCGGCGGCCGGGGCCAGCTCCATGGCGAGCGGGTGCCACGTGGTCGCGGGCTGCGTGCTGGGCGCGCACATCGCGCAGAACACGTCATCCGGTGAGAACGTCGAGAACTCTATGACCGGCCCCAGGCTGAAGCCCATCAGCTGCGAGTTGCCGACGCGATGGCCGCGCGTGCTGAGTCGACGCAAGCGACGTGAGCACCGGCAATGGCTGGGGCGGTGGCACGGGCCTCATTGAACACCACGACCGACGACAAGTCCACCACGAGACTCCCAAGAGGCCCCCAGAAGCCCCAAGAGGCCCACAGGAGCTTCCCAACACGTTCCCAAGGGGCTCCGAAGAGGCACCCAAGATGCTCCCAAGAGGCCCCAAAACTAACCTTCAAAGGGCCCCCGGTAGCGCTCCGAAGAGACTCAAAAAGCATCCCTGAGGACTCTGACCCACGTCAACATCGTCGTCGTCGTCGTCGCCGTCGTCGTCGTCGTCGTCGTCGTCGTCGCCGTCGTCGTCGTCGTCGTCGTCGTCGTCGTCGATGCTCTTCCATTCGTCGTCGTCGTCGTCGTCGTCGTCCTCCAGGCGCCTTGAGAATAGCTCCAGATCGCCATCGCCGTCAACGTCGTCGTCGTCGGCCAAAGACGCTCCCGAGAAAGCCTCACGATTGCCAACAACGGCCCCACACGAGACCCAAAGATACCCCCAAGAGGCCCCCCCCGCCACATCAGAGAACGCATGGGTCGCCCTCCAGGGTCGGCGGCACCGGCCGTAAGGCCTTCGCAATATTAGCCCCCCCCCGCGTATTGTTTTTAACACGCAGGATTCCCCGGAATTGGGTTTTCGCTTGCATTTTTTTCAAAATGCTGATCTCGTTGAGGCGCCGGCTTCATTTTCGGGCCCGGCTTCATTTTCGGGCCCCGCTCATTCCGAATCGTGGTCACGCTGCAGCGCTGGCCTCATTTCCGTGCTTCCGCTCGTTCCGAATCGTGCTCCCGCTGCAGCGCTGGCCTCATTTCCGCGCTTCCGCTCGTTCCGACTCGTGCTCCCGCTGCAGCGTTGGCGTCATTTCCCGTGCCATGCCACGGCATGCAATGCAATTCTAGGTTGATACTACGCTTTGCGGTGCTCTGTTACGCCATGCCACGCCGTGCTCTACAATGCATCGCGTACCCTTCCGGGATCATTGCCCTGCTCGACATCCGGCTGTGCGAGTAGAGAGGGGATCTACGCCATGGTAAGGGATGGGAGGGAGGGGTAGGATGTCAGATATGACGCGAGCGCACCTAGCTTGTCCTCCTCCCCCTCCTCCCTCCTCCCTGGTCCCCCTCCCCCTTCCCCTCCCCCTTCCCCCTCCTCCCCCTCCTCCTCCTCCTCCTCCTCCTCCTCCTCCTCCTCCTCCTCCTCCTCCCTCCTCCTCCTCTCCTCCTCCTCCTCCTCCTCCTCCTCCTCCTCCTCCTCCCTCCTCCTCCTCCTCCTCCTCCCCTCCTCCCCCCCCTCCTCCTCCTCCTCCTCCCTCCTGGCCTGTTCCAGGGCCACGGTGGCGGCACTCCTCCCCGCCCGCCCCCGACCCGTGGGCGCCCACCGAGCCCTGGGCGTGCCCCCGCCTGGCCGTGTCCGGGATGGTGAGCAGCCGGCAGCCCACCGGGCCCTGGCCGCCCTCGAAGCGGCAGACCTTCGGGCGCCGCTCGAGTCATGAAAAAATCACGACGGGAGGTTTTTCGCCATTTTCGGCTTCTGGGGGCCCCTACCGGGCCTCGGGACCGTCAAAAAACGATTCAGGATGAAAAACCGGTCCTGGGGAATGGGTCCAAACCTCTGGGGGTCGACGTCATGAAAAAACCATGAGGTCGGGGGTCTGGGCTTCGGGCGCCGCTCGCCGCCGCCGCTCGTCGCCTCCGCCACTCATCGTAGGGCGTAGGGTTCAGTCGGGCGTGTCCCCCTACAGGAGGATTCGCAACGGATTTTTGTTTTAAATGCTCAAAGGAATCCCAAAATACTCAAACAGTATCCCAGCAAAGCAACCTAACAGCGATGTGTATAAGCATGTCTGGAAGCATTCCCCTTAAGATTCAGGTGAGAATCCAGTTGTAGAATTCTGCCGTTCTCGCAGTCGCAGTCGCAATGACAGTCGCAATGGCAACGGCCTTAGGATCCAATAGAATCCTAAGGATCCCTAAGGATTCCTGAGGATGCTTAACTATGCCTACGGATTCCTAAGGATGCCTACGAATTCCTAAGGGTTCCCAGGGATTCCTAAGGATTCCTATGGATTCCTACGGATGCCTCAGCCTGCCTCAGTTTCAGCCTCAGCCTCAGCCTGCCTCGGCTTGCCTCAGCCTCAGCCTCAGCCTGCCTCGGCCTCAGCCTCAGCCTGCCTCAGCCTCAGCCTCAGCCTGCAGCCTCAGCCTGCCTCAGCCTCAGCCTCAGCCTGCCTTCAGCCTCAGCCTCAGCCTGCCTCAGCCTCAGCCTCAGCCTGCCTCAGCCTCAGCCTGCAGCCTCAGCCTCGCCTCAGCCTGCCTCAGCCTCAGCCTCAGCCTGCCTCAGCCTCCCTCAGCCTGCCTCGCCTCAGCCTGCCTCAGCCTCAGCCTCAGCCTTCGGCCTGCCTCGGCCTCAGCCTCAGCCTCAGCCTCTCGCCTTCAGCCTCGGCCTCAGCCTCAGCCTGCCTCAGCCTCAGCCTGCAGCAGCCTCAGCCTCAGCCTCAGCCTGCCTCAGCCTCAGCCTGCCTCAGCCTCAGCCTCAGCCTGCCTCAGCCTCAGCCTCAGCCTGCAGCCTCAGCCTCAGCCTGCCTCAGCCTCGCCTCAGCCTCAGCCTGCCTCAGCCTCAGCCTGCATCAGCCTCAGCCTCAGCCTCAGCCTGCCTCAGCATCAGCCTGCCTCAGCCTCAGCCTCAGCCTGCCTCAGCCTCAGCCTCAGCCTGCTTCAGCCTCAGCCTCAGTCTGCCTCAGCCTCGGCCTCAGCCTCAGCAGCCTCAGCCTGCATCAGCCTCAGCCTCAGCCTCAGCCTGCCTCAGTCAGCCCTCAGCCTCAGCCTCAGCCTGCCTCAGCCTCAGCCTCAGCCTCCTCGGCCTCAGCCTGCGTCAGCCTCAGCCTCAGCCTGCCTCAGCCTCAGCCTGCCTCAGCCTCAGCCTCAGCCTGCCTCGGCGTGCCTCAGCCTCAGCCTCAGCCTGCCTCGGCCTCAGCCTGCCTCAGCTCGGGCATTCAAAATATGGCACAGGGCTGGTGTTCTGGGAACACGAAGATCACGAAGTGGCCGACAGTTGGCTCGGGGCAATCAAAATATGGCACAGGGCTGGTGTTCTGGGAACACGAAGATCACGAAGTGGCCGACAATTGGCTCGGGGCAATCAAAATATGGTACAGGAGCGGTGTTCTGGGAACACGAAGATCACGAAGTGGCCGACAGTTGGCTCCGGGCATTCAGAATGTGGCCTGGGAATGGTGTTCTGGGAACACGAACGGGCGAGCTGCCTGTCCTGAGACTCTAGAGCTGGGCGTGCGGACTGGAGCGAGCTCGACGGGTCCCGGCCTCGGGGCGGAGGAAGGCCGGGGAGCAGGGGGTGCGTGTGGACGAGTGCCAGCCTCGGACTCCTTCGCCTCCCCCCTTTTCGCTCCTCCTCCTCCTGGCTTCCTCCTTCGCCTCCCCCCCCGCCCTCCCCTCCCCTCTCCCCTCCCTCCCCTCCTCCTCCGTCTCCCCCCCCCCCCCCCCCCTCTCTTCGCTGCTCCTCCTGGCTTCCTCCCTCGCCTCCCCCCCGCCCGCCCTCCCCCCCTCGCTCCCCCCCTGGAGGTGCGAGCCCTCGAGCCAGCCAGGGCCCGACGCCGCCGACGGCCGGACTCGTGCGAGTCGCTGGCCCCCAGAGGCCCCCTCGGCCCTCACCCCCGGGCGCCAGCTTCTCGTCCCGAGCCTTCTTGAAGGGGCCCTGGGACACACAAACAAATACACACAAATAAAGGGATCCCCCATCTTTTCTTATATCTTCTGGGTTTTTGTCTCCCCCCCCACTTCCCATAGTTTCTCATATTGTCCTGGGAGTGGACGATTAATTGTGTCTGTGTGTTCTTCCCCTCCTGAACTTCTGCTGCTCCCATCGTACTTCAGGACCACATCCCAGGAGTAATCTCGAGCACCCAGAAAGGTGTCGAGAGGGTGTCGAAAGAGTGTCGAAACAGTGTCGGACGAGTGTCTCCCAGGGCCCGACGCGCGAAAACCCTCGGATTTGGAGGTATTTTCTGGCGCTCGGAATTCTTTCTGGTGATCTAGGCTAGAGTAGGTTGGAACATCATGAACCGAGCCTTCTCCTGCTGGCCTCGAGCCGAGCGGTGTCAAGCAGCATACGCTGAATACAGTGGTCAGCGCAGAGAGTTCAAACGCGCTGCTGGGCTGCGGTCAAAAGCCAAAGTGAGGACGCAAGGCGAGGATGCAAGACGTTTGGGGGTTCTATTCTGACCTCCTTGGACGTCAAGACTTGCTCGGGATGGGCCGAAGAAGCAGGGATGCAAGGGCAGCCAGCATGAAGTTACACATCCTCACTACGGATTTTGACTGTACCGCTCAGAAAGGGACTAGGAAGCCATCGCTGTGTAAGCGTCATTGTTGCCATAATGTCGGCCCCATTTTCCCATGCAAGCGTGCAGTTTGGTGCACGTTGTTGACTATTCTTCTCCCTTGGGTCATGTGGATGGCCTCCAAAAGCGGGAACTGGCGACGAACCTCTGGTATGCTTTTCCGAGTCGCCAGAAAGCTGGATCCAGGGATCAAACTCGACCCTTGGACCTCTCCAGGAATGTGCCCTGGCCAGAACTTCGAAGGGAATCCCGCCGTGGCGACGAAGAAGCCTGGGAGCGACCTTGCTGAGCGCAATCCGCGACCCAACCTCAAAACGTACCCAACAACAATGTCCAACACATCCTCCTGGGATCTCCGCCATCGAGCCATCGACCGTCAGTTGGCATTTTGCTTGTTGTCCGTCGCGACTTCTTGGGAAAATGAAGAAAAACGACGGAGAAACCAAAAGGTACCGATACCGCAGACTTCTCCTGGGGGGCGGTTCAGACCAGGATTTCGAGGTGAATCCAGCAGTGGCGACAAGGGCCAACCAGGAGGCCCAAAAGGGGAAACACGAAGGAAGGGTACCGGTGTGGGTACCTTTTCCTCCTCTGAGCTGGTGGGACACAGCTAAACTGGACCGTCAACATCCAGGGCGCGCTCGCCAAAAGCGTCGGCAAACCAGAGTTCCAGCGTGCTTGGGTCTTACGCTTCCCCGGCGCTGAGCAAGCATCCAGCCATCGTGTCAAGAGCGAGGCGGGGAGCTTCGAAATCCACAAGTCTAAAACATCGCATGCCTCCAAAAGGGGGCGTCCACCAGGGGCGTTCGCAGATCATGGCCCGAGGCACGTGCGCGGCCCTGGGGGAGGCCAGGGAACGCACTGAAATGAGAAGACGGGCCATGAGATCCGAGGCAAGGCCCCCGTCTATGAAATCAACCCACCCCCAGGTCATCACCCCCCCCTTGGTCGTCCACGACACAGCTCGATCCTCGAGCCTCCGCCTTGGGAACGTGGGCGCGGCCTTCACCCAGCACTGCGTCTCGCAGTCGGTCCTGGGCTGGTGGTGATGCACGCCGCAAGCCATCCGCAGCATGCCGACCCCGCACGTCTTGCTGTCCTCCCCGGGCAGCATCGGCCAGCATCGCATCGGAGAGCCGGATCGGATTGGCGAGTGCGCGTCAGATCGGGCCGCCTCGGCTCGGAGTCGCGATCGGGAAGCACTGGCTGCGACAGAGCGCGCACAACAGCGCCGTGCAAGCATCTGGCCGCAGCGGGTCGTCGCAACAGATCGTGACCGAGCCGGACCGAACTGGCCAAAACCGATCTGTCAGATGGACCCTGCGAGGCGCGCCGGCCGCGCCGCCCGCGATGGCGGCGGCGGTGGGGACGGTGGCGCCAGCTGCTGCGGCAGCGGGCGGGCGGGGGAGGGGCGGCGGCGGCGGCGGCGGGGGCCCGCGCCGACGACAGCGGCGGCGGCCGCGGGAGGCGCGGCCGTGCGGCGGGCGGCGCAACGCGAGAGGCAGGTGGTGGGGGAGGCGCCGGCCGGCTGCTGCGGCGGAGGGCGGCGGCGGAGTGGGGACGGCGGCGGCGGCCGCGGCGTCAGCGGCGTCGGCGGCGGCAGGTGTGCGAGAGGAACGGGCTGTTGCGGCGAGGGGAGGAATCGGCGGACGGAGGCAGAGGCGGAGTGGTGGCGGCGGCGGCGATGGGCGACGGCGGCGACGGCGGCGGCGGTGGGAGACGCGAAGGCGAAGTCAGCTGCGGCGGGCGGCGCCAGCGGAGGAGGATGGCGGTGGCGACGGCTGCTTCGGCGGAGGCAGCGGAGGGCGGCGGGTGCGGCGGAGGTGGAGGTGCGAGAGGGCGAAGCTTCCAGTGCGCCAGCCATCGGTCCTGAAGGCCGAGCGAGCCTTGATTGGTCGAGGCTTGGAGCAGCAGGGGGAAGGGAAAGATGAGGGCGGAACGGGGAGACGATGAGGAGGGACGCTCTGCGATGCGTCATGTGCTGCACTTGATTGCAAATCCAAGAGAGAACGCTGAGCGCGGCTCGAGGCCTCGTCTGCGATGGTCACCTGCGCCTTCATGAACTCTGGCATGATGGAGCACGTCTTCCGCCTCGTGTTGCTCTGCGTGGTGTCCGCCCTGATAGGCAGGCTGGCAGTCCTCCTCCTCCTCCTCCTTTTCCTCCTTTGCCTCCTTTCCTCCTCCTCCTCCTCCTTCTCCGCCTCCTCCTCCTCCTCCTCCTCCTCCTCCTCCTCCTCCTCCTCCTCTTGCTCCTCCCCCTCTTGCTCCTGCTCCTGCTCCTGCTCCTGCTCCTCCTCCTGCTCCTCCTCCTGCTCCTCCTCCCCTCCTCCTCCTCCTCCTCCTCCTCCTCTCCTCCTCCTCCCTCCTCCCCCTCCTCCCCCTCCTCCCCCCCCCCCCCTCCTCCTCCTCTCCTCCTCCTCCTTCCTCCTCCTCCTCCTCTCTCTCCTCCTCCTCCTCCCCCTCCTCCCTCCCCTCCTCCCCCTCCTCCCCCTCCTCCCTCCTTCTCTCCTCCTCGTCGTCCTCCTCCTCCTCCTCCTCCTCGTCCTCCTCCTCCTCCTCCTCCTCCTCCTCCTCCTCCTCCTCCTCCTCCTCCTCCTCCTCCTCCTCCTGCGCACTCTTAGCTGCCAGGGTTCGTCCGCCGCTGCGTGTCCTGTGTACACGATGGCAATCACACGCCCAGACTAGCCCCACGAGCCGGGCAGGAGCGCGAGACTGCTCTGAGGCACCCTCAGAGCGCGGGAGAGGCTCGCCACAGTCGCCCGCGCTTCCAGGAGAGGGGAATAGCCTCCGACGCCGCGAACGCTTCTGAAGGTGCATGCCGTCACGCGGCCCAGGGTGATGGGCCTGTTTTCCACCACCACCACCACTACCACCACCACACCACCACCACCACCACCACCACCACCACCACCACCACCACACCACCACCACCACTACCACCACCACCACTACCATAAGTTGGAGGGGGGGGTCCTCCTCCTCCTCCTCCTCCTCCTCCTCCTCCTCCTCCACCTCATCCTCCTCCACCTCCTTCCCCCCTCCAACTTGTGGTGGTGGTGGAAGACAGGCCCATCACAGGGCACGCTTTCTTGAGGGGGAGCCCGCCGCAGGGGGCTGCCCGCCACCAGTCTGAGGAGCGCCGCCCCCGCAGCTCCCGGCGAGAGTGAGCGAGACAGCCCACCGCAGGCCACGGTCGGGACCTTCTGCGCAGCGAGTCGCGGCGGCGGCCCCTGCGACACGCTGTGCCCTCTGAGCGCGTGGCGTGTCGCTTCCACCTGCGGGACGGCTCGCCGCGACAAGCTCGAGACGCTGATGATTGGGAACTCGGACGCGGTTAGCGCGTCGTGCCGAAGCGCGGTGGGCCAGAACCGGTGGTGCGACACGCTAAGCAAACGTGCCAGACCGTGCGCCTTTGCCAACCGACATGGATGTTCGACGTCCCCCCGCCCCCAGCCCGGCCCGCCCCATCGCCCTGACTTCCACATGCCTCCGGGCGTGATCCACCCTGTGTTCGGGAAAAGAAAGACGGAGGAGGAGCAAACACAATGCTGCAAAAAATGCGCACCAGACCTAGCAACACAGGTCCAAAGCATAGCGTGTGCGGAAACCGCCACTCCGACAGACGCAGAACTTCAAATCATTTGCAGATTCATGACTGTTGACCAACGGGCACAGACCCGCACACACAACATACGCAAGCACGCAAGCGTGTGAACACAAAAGCACGCCAATGTGCACATGCGTGCGCGCATGTCTTCTTATACAAACGCTAACGACTGAACATACGCAGAGACGTACATACCACCATGCATCCTCCGCTGGCTTCAACCAACCACGCTTGCATTCAATTGATCAGGCCACTCTGCCGGGACACTCCGCCAGCTCTCGCTGGCGACAAGGCGTCCAACAGGCGCCAACACTGAGAAGACACATGTTTTGTATTTCGTTCCGCGACCGGGCCGAATGCCAACTACGCAATGCATAGCGAGGCCACGTGGTGAGAGCACCTCCCTCTGCACTGTGGTGCACGCTGGCCTCTGAGACGAATGGCCGGCTGCCCTTGGTGATCAACTCGTGGCCACACCCAAGGCCGCATCGAACGGACTGGGTGGAACGCCTCTATGTGCGTGCAGCTGCAAAAGGACAACCGCGGTGCGCCACAGAGCTACAGGTCATGTGGGCAAAGATGGTGCACAGGGCCACCTAACATCTTGGTCCAAAAGGACACACTACATGCCCCCCCTCGCAAAGTGAAGACGGAGGTGAGGTCCGTGTTCAGCTTGGCCTCCGCCGTCGAAACGCACGGCGCAGGCGGCAATGGCAGCTTCAGCACCTCATCCCGGTGCGGAACGTGGCGGCGAAACTCTGCGATGCGCCCCACAGCGTGACGCGGCCAAGCCAGGGCGCCCCTGGGGTGGCGGTCGTCCTCTCCTAGGACCCACCCTTCTAGTGCGGTGCCAGGGGTTGCGCTGGCAGTCGCTCCTCGTCGGGGCCTCCTGCGGGCAAGGGAGGCCGTCGAGGTTTCCGCGCCTGCGCTGCCTTCGATCTCTCTCTTTTCGGCCCCAGCTTCGGCCTAGGTTGGGCCAGGGCATGGGGGGCTGACGGCGAGGCGGGGGGAACCGCGCGCGCGGCGCTTCTGCAGAGCGCGCGCGCGGTGACCGCGCCCCCTATCACGGATCGGGCGCGTTGGAACGCGAGCGCAGCAAAAGCCCGATACCATTGCCCCACCCACCCGCACCTTCCCCCCCTGCGAGACTCGACCTTGCCATCGCTCAGACGTCCATGCCCCGTGCATCTTACGATGCCGTGCGCGGACTTCTCCGCAAGACGATCCGAGAGGCTCCTCGATGGGCGTCGCCGAAAGAAAAACGCACACGTCCGAGCGATGCCAGGTGGCCAGGTCTGCCACCGCGCAGCTGTCGCCGACCGCTGGGGTCGAGGCTGTGACCAGCGCAGGCGGCACGGCCCTCGCCTGTCGCAGAGGCCAGCGTCTGCTGCGCAGGGTCGCGCTGGGAGTGGCGGGGGGGGGGGGGCGGCCCTCTCCCCCCTTGGCTGAAGTCGGGCGTGTCCCCCTACAGGGGGATTTTCGACGAAAAGAAATATATTCCAAAAAGGTAAAAAATAATCAAAAAATAGTGCCCAGACTATTCTTTGACTATTTTCGAATATCCCCCCTGTAGAGGGACAGGCCCGACTTAAGCCTTGGCGCGATGCTGGCTCGGCGCTCCCCCTGAGGCACTCCTCCCCCAGGCCTGTGCCGCATCGCTGCAACGCGCCGAAGAATGGGGGGGGGGGGGGGCGCCCGCACCGCAGTCGGAGAGGAGCTCCCGGAAGCACAAGGCTCGCAAACGGCAAAAACACACCAGCATTCGGAGGCCCGCGCGGGTTTTGGCTTCGATGGGCGCTGGGCCCGCTGGCCAAACTGAAGAACGCTCGAGGGTACCCTCCCCCAGGATGCGCACACAAGGACACCCAACAGACGCGGAGAACACGAGGGCATCCTCCCCGAACTGACCTCGATCTTCTACCTCGGTCCGACGGTCGGCCCCCCGATAGTGATGTGTTCTCTAGGAGTGCCCAGTGGCGATGCGCGATGCCGTGCCCATCGGCGCTTCCGCGTCGCAGCGCTCGACTCTCGACGCGCTCGCTGGCGCCGCCGGCGCCCCAACGCCGCATGCACCTGCCGCATTAGGCATAGGCCCCAGATAATGTGCCGCCCAGAAGCAGGTAGGCTCTGCCCTCCAAATTCGGTCCGCTCGCGCCTCCGCTGCGCCGCCGATCCACGGCAGGGCCTCCCGCGCGGCGTGCGCGCCCGCCGCCCGCCGCAGGCCGCCCGCGGGCCTCTCGGCGGCAGCCGGCGCTCTCCCGGTCCTTCGCTGCGGCCGGAGCGCCCGCGCTGCGCAGGGCGCTTGGCTTGGCGGCGGAGCGCCCGCGCTGCGCGGGGCGCCGACACTACGGCCAGGAGCGTCTGCTTCGCTCCTGGGAACAGAGAGCGGCCCAAAGACAACAGCTCGAAGGTCCGCGCGGATCTCTGGAATCGGCGCTGGAGCCCCGTGGCGGCGCCCCCACCGCAGCCCCTGGCGCGCTCCGCGCGCCGGGGAGGGAGGTCCAGCGCCGATCCAAGAAGTCCGCGCGGACCTCCGAATCTTCACGTATTTGTTCCCCGAGGAGCGTGTCGCGGCGGCGGCCTCGGCGGCACGCCATGCCCGGCGAGCGGACAGCGTGCCGCTGCGCTCCGCAAGGCGGTGAGCTCTGGAGGGCTCGGGGCGTTGACGCCTGGGGACCAGGAAGTGGTTGGCGTGTCGCGCCGACTCGTCGTGGGCCAGAGCTGGCGGTGCGACACGTTTTTGTTCCGACGCGCTGGCGCGACATCGAGGTGTTTTTTTTCTGGACGACGGGACCTCTGAGGGCGACTAGCTCGCTGTGGTTGGTACACCTCCGCCACGGACTGGTCGCCGCCAGCGCCGTGGTGGGGCTCCAGCTCAGCACCGGGCCAGGAAATGCGAGGTGGTCCTGCTGGCGGCACCGACAGGGCTGGCTACCGACGCGTCCGTGAGGTCTGGCCAGCGGCAGCCAAAGGTGGGGCCGCCAGCAACGAAAATGAGCTGCTTGATCCGCAAGTGTGCGGGGAAACGCGAGGATGAGCAGGCGGAGTGAGAGAGCTAGCGGCAGGAAAGGAACCAAAGACGGACGGGGAGGGATACGTTACGAGCGGCGAACATATCCGTATCCGCTCGCGGTCTGGACTCTGGGGCGCGATCCCGCGGATACGCAGTCTTACGGATACGTTCCGCGCGGGGCATCCGAGGAAAAAAAAAAAACCGTATCCGCGGGGTCGCGGCCGAAGGGCCCGGCCCGCGAGGGCGCGGATACGAAGATGTTCTCTGCCCACGAAGTGACAGGAGGGGCGGGAGGGAGGGGAGCAAGAGCGCGCGGACGAGGAGGGCGGACACGAGGGCGAGGCAGCCCGGAGAGCAGCAGGAGACGGCGGACGATGGGGCAGTGATGGGGGCGAAGGGCCGGCAGAGCGTCCGACGACCACCTGGAACACCCCGGGACACCGCAGGACCACCAGAACCCCGCAGGACCACCAGGACCCCCATGATCCAGCAAAGCTCCGCAAAACCACAGCACCAAGGCCCCCCAGCGCACCTCAAGACCTCCTCCAACCCCCGTGGACCGGGCGGGGGCGTCGGGGGCGAGCCCCTCGGTCGTGGCGAACTGGGTGTAGCTCGCGTAGGCCCGCGTCAGGCTCACGCTCAGGCGCTCCCCGCCGACGCTGCCGGAGCGGATCGTGATGATGCCCTCCCCTCCGCCGCGCCTTTCTGGCGAGGGCGATTCGGCGGAGCCGAGGAGAAGGAGGAGGAGGAGGAGGAGGAGGAGGAGGAGGAGGAGGAGGAGGAGGAGGAGGAGGAGGAGGAGGAAGGGGAGGAGGAAGAGGTAGAGAAGGAGGAGGAGGAGGAGGAGGAGGAGGAGGAAGGGAGGAGAAAGGGGAGGAGGAGGAGGAGGAGGAGGAGGAGGAGGAGGAGGAGGAGGAGGAAGAGGACCAGCGTAAACATCAACGATGTTGCAATAAACCCTCCCTCCAAATTCCATCTTCACAAGTCCATGCAAAAACCCATTGTTAGAAGGGAAACACCCCGTTGGAAAACAACCGTCTGCAAATCCGGGCCCGCACCAGAACACGATTCCTGGGACTTCAATGCCTCAACGCTACTACTGTTGCGTCTTGACGATCCTGAATTGAGCCCAAACACCAAACCTGGAAGTTCAGCACCGCGAGTCAGCATGACTGTTGCGCCCTGACAATAACACATCGTGCCAAAAAACAAATTCTGGGACGTCAGCCATAAGAACCCTTGAAATTGCTGTGGACACTTGAAACGAGTGTGCGCGGCGCTAAAGAGAAAAACGCAATTTGAGAAAGAACCACCCTCCATCCGTCAAGCTCTGGCAAGCTTTTTAAACGAAGATGCCCGGCGCTGAGGCAAGAGCCACATTTTGAAAAACCTCCACCCTCCATCCGAGAAGCTACTGCAATCCCCGCAGCCCTCTGGGCGTCGATGGTTTAGGGAGTGTCCTCTTCCACCCCTCCTTCTTCCCTTTGGGGGATGGGTTTACCCCTCCCCCAACCCCCTCCCCTGGACCTGGACGGGGGGTTCCGCGAGTCGTCGGAGCGTCCAAAACGGCCTCGGCGAGGAAGCCAAAATCATTGGTTTTACTAGGGTTTGGGCCCCATTTTGGCCTCCTGAGGGGGGACTGTAATTAGCACCCCCCTCCTGTGATCGATCTCACCCAAGATGGCCCAAAGATGGCCCCCAAAGCTCCCAAGGGTGCCCCAAGAGGTGGCCAGGAAGCCCCAAGAGGCCCCCAGGATGCCCCCAAGAGGCTCCCAAGAGACCCCCAAGAGGCTCCAAGAGACCCCCCAGAGGCACCCAAGATGCTCCGAGAGGCTTCAGCAAGAATGCCAAATTATTGATTTTACTAAGGTTTTAGCCACATGTTGGCCTCTTGGGGGGGGCACTGATTAAGATGACTCCAAGAGCGCCTGGGGGAGCCCAAGATGACCTCCAAGATGGCTCCAGATATCCCAAGATGTCTCATAATGGTTTCCTCTGTGTGCTGCCCACTTCCCTGATCGAGGCAATTCCTCTGGGCATCGTTTCTGGATGGGCTGGTGGGGATTCGCGAAGCGTCAACAATTTGTTAAAAAGAGTGTACGCGGCGCGAACGCGAGAACCACATTCTGAAAACAGTTGGCCCACCATGTGTGAAATTGCTGCGAGTTTTCGCTTTAAGGATGATAAGTGGCAAAAGAGTCTCAAGCGAAACGCCCGGTCCGCCCTACCGACTCGCCTCGGGATGCAACAGGAAGGAATTATCTATAAGGAAAAGGGCTGCAGGAGGAGGAGGAAGAGGAGGGGCAGCATTTGCGGCACTTGCGCAGCACATCGTGCGGGGGAAGAAGAAAGAAGGGAGGAGGGTGGGGCGCACGCCTGGGCTGTAGACACCGCAACCCCTCGCTCAACCCTAGCAGCCAGGCCCGTCTTGGGAGGGCCTGCGTAGCTGGGAAACTTACCTTGCGAGATGCGGGCGAGGTTCTCGCGGCCCTTCTTCGAAGGGTTACATTCAGCAGCAGGCTGCCGTCCGTCCACGGTGGCTGTACCGCCGCAGTGGTGGCACAACTATTGGATGCTCGTTCTGGGGACCTTCCTGGAGCCACTCGCTCCACTCGTGCGTCGAAGCTGCGTCGAACGTCAGTCGAGTTGGGTCGAACCTGAGTCGAACCTGAGTCGAACCTGAGTCGAACTTGAGTCGAACTTGAGTCGAACTTGAGTCGAACTGGGGTCGAACAGATCCGTTAGGTGTGCTCCAGGAAGGTCCCCGAAACGAGCATCGAACAACTACATGCCAAAACGGTCCCGAAGCCGAAGCGGTGGGACTCGATGAGGGTCACCCCGCAGACAACCCACGGGTCCTGCAACCGAGACGGCAACCTCTCGAGGCCACTCCTGGGCCGCTCTCACCAACACACCCCGAGACACAACAAACTCCAGAAGACAGCCTCAGGTAGAACAACTCCTCCTCCTCCTCCTCCTCCTCCTCCTCCTCCTCCTCCTCCTCCTCCTCCCCCACCTGGAACACCTGAAACGCTTACCACACTCGGTGACACGGTGAGCACTGGCACGGGCGGCACGATCCCTCATGGCCCCCCTTCGGGGTCTCCCAGGTCGGGGATCTTCTGACCGGGGTCAGTCCAGACCCAGGTCAGTCAGGATCTTGCAGGAACCTGCAAGATCCTGCACCCAAACCAAGTCAGTGCGAAGGATCCTGTAAGGGCCTGCAGGATCCTGCACCCAAGCCCGGGCCAGTGCGACCCTGGCCCTGTAGGATCCCGCAAGAGCGGGCGCTCTGGCTGCGCCCCGCTCGCATGGACCCCCGCCTCTCGAGCCCCGACCGCGGGCATCCAGGGAGTCCCCGGGCTCGAGCGGATCGACCGTCGCAGAATCCGCCAAGAAACTCTGCGGGCCCTCCGCCTGACCAGGGGCACGATCGTACCCCACTGGTCGGCCGAGGGCGCATCCGCGGTGAGACCAAGCTCCCAGTTGCCCTCGGCCGCTTCACCCGCGGCAGAGCCGGCCGCGGCGTTGCCAGCAGACACGACGCGTTCCTGGGACGTGGGACTAGGACCATCAGGATCCACGTGGGAAGGAGTCCAATTGACAAAAACCTGGCCTCCGCCACGGCTCTCCAGAGCCCTTCTGATGCGCGACCAGAGGTCCCCGCTACGCCCGTCGCAAGCCCGAGACCTACCCCGCTCCCACCCCCGCGAACAGTGGCCTGTGCCGCGTCACAAAAAGGATGGGGCCTGCAGAGCCCTTGATGGGCCCGAGTGTTTGACCCTGGGGGTCCGTCTGACTGCGGCCGACACGGCCCGGCGACACTCCTCCAAGAACTTCGAAACCGTCACCCTGCTGCTGAATAGCGACTGCTCCTGCGCCACAACGGCGGCGACGAGGGTCGGACGAAAATCGTCTCCCCGAGACGCCACCAAAAATAACTGTGACTACACCCGCAATGTAGCAGTCCATGAGCGAACGCTCGTGCACGGAAACCAGCAAAGCAAAGTACCCTGCTCAAACAAGACGGGTGTGTAAGCTCGGACGGGACCACGCCCCTAAGACACAGGCCAGGAAAGGCCTCGATCAGGCAGTCGCTCTTGGCGGAATCCAAATGACCGCAGTTCGTCTCGCAAGCCAAACCCGATGCATGAGGGTCTCGGGGCACTTGTTGCACCACTACACATCTGGTACTTGGGAGACACCTTCTAGCACGGGCCAGTGGGCCCCGCCCACCACAGCCATCGTGAGGCCATACTCGCTGAAAAGACCCTCCTTCACGACGAACCAGACAGAGATCGTCCCCCCGTTCAAATCAGAGCCCGCTTCGTGCTGGAATGCCGTTTGCCACAACTGTGCTCTGAGGCCGCTGCACAAATCACCCAAACGCTCAGGCACCTTAGAATCGCTGGGATCATAGCCTGGCGTGGTAGAGACAAGAAGAGACCAGTCCTCCACTGTGCCACCAAGGGTGTGACGCTGTCAAACCGAAGCCTCTCTGGGATCCCACCCCAAATCGAATATATTGGCCTGAACAGCCGAGACGGGGCCCGTGCCCTTCCGCCATCTGCCCTTACCCGCGCGCTTGAGGAGACGAAGCGATGGTCCCCAGGCCCTCCAGATCCTGGCATGCAAGTGGGGATGCTTGTGCCAACAAGCCAAAAACTCGGAAATCAGCTGCCTGCGATTCTCGACCCCTATGGGCCTTGAGACCGCACTGTGCAGCCACAGCCCTGGTGATGCAGCGCCCAGGAAGTCTACCACACTCCGCCGTAGCGGCTTGCCTGCGCAGCCTACGGACGCTGCTGGGCGCATGGCCTTGCACCCGGTGAGCAGGCGAGCCTTCGGGAAGAACCCGTGGTCCAGAACCCCTTGGAAACCTTCTTGAGGGAAGCATCCCTCCAGATTCGCAGGTTGTGCGGCTCTTCGACGGGCCGCTGTCATCCTAGACCTGGACTTGGCCACCGAACGGAACCTACCAAAACTAACATCGGCGCCCAAATCAGCACCCGTTCTTGCGAAACTCACGGGCAACCTGCAACCCAGAAGCATGGAACACACGCGCTTACCCAAGCTCAAGGAAGAGGAAACGAGCACAGTTTTGCCCAAGACAGCCAAGTGCCCAATGGAAACCTCGCCGAGAGCAGCCAGGACTATACAATGCCTTCCTCAAGTGCCGCCTCGGTGCCTTCACTACGCAGCACCGTGTTATCGATGAAGGTCCGCAAGGACGCGGAGAGGGCTTTGTTACGCGCGGCTTCCAGAAGCGGGTGAACAAACAGTTCAGCAACTCTGACTCCGCTTGATGAACAGACAACCAAATAACGGTTCGGCCAAATAGCCTCCGAGACCCCCTGCTGTCCGGGCCTGCGATGGGCAGCACAAAGCTGGATCTCCAAACTCGTTCAACAAAGATCAGAAAACGGTAACTGCAATACCGCTCGGCCTTGGAGGACACACGATACGCTGTCGTATAACTCTTTAAAAGAAGAATGGCGGCCGTGAAACTATGATTCACAACCGTCTCATCGAGCAACGATCGCATCAACAACGCCTGCAGAGCGGAGCTGCCCGCGACAGTGTCCAAGACATCCCCTAAGCCTTCTGACCACTCAGAAGTGAAGCCAGACCTCATCCTCGACCAAATCGTGGCGGAAGAAGGAGGGGGAGGAGGGGGAGGAGGGGGAGGAGGAGGAGGACGAGGAGGAGGAGGAGGAGGAGGAGGGGGAGGAGGAGGAGAAGGAGGAGGAGGCGGAGGGGGACGACGACGACGACGACGACAACGACGAGGAGGCCGCCAAGGGCCAAGAGAGGGAGGCCCAGACGTGTCCGGGCGACTCGATCCTCCGAGTCCACCTGCTCTCCCTTGTGGCAGGGAGCGAGCGGGCGCTGCAGGTCGGGCGGGTGGTAACGGAGGGTGGCCTGCATCGGGGGGTAGAGAGAAAGGGCCCCTGAAGGAGCCCTGTGGGGCCCCTTTCGGAGCGGAGCCAGCAGGGCCCAAAAGGGGCCCCATTATCAAGGGCCCCTGCAGGGCCCATTTCTGCACTCCCCCGTCAGGTCAGCCCCCGTTACCGCCTGCCCGAGCAGGGAAAGGGTCCTGGACCCGACCTGAGGACAAGCTGTTCGTCCTGCGTCGTTTCTTGACAGCCCAGGGCCCCGAGGAGGGTCCGGAGGCGTGGAAGGCGGCCAACAAACCTACGGGGCCCGTCTCTCGCAGGACCCGAGACGACACAGCAGGCCCCAGGAGGGCCCCAAGAGGCACCCGCGAAGACCCAAGGACGCCCCCAGTTCGCAGCCAAGATGCCTTCAAGAAGGAGGCGGGAGGGGGGAGGAAAGGAGGAAGAGGAGGAGTCGAAGAATACAACTGAGGACAAGCAGGGAGTGTTTCGGACCCGCACAAATTCAAACAGGGATTCTGGACTGGAGCGGGTCTCTAAGGCCCAGCATTTTGGGAGGAGCATATGTGTGGCAGGGTCGGCCCTTCCAGGCGCTTTTTTGCTTTTTGGTTGTTCTCCTGGAGGCATCTCGTCGCATCTCAGAAGGGCCCACTGGACGGATTGCGAGCGGATGCGGGACGGGCGGGCGAGCCGCCGGTTGCCTCAACCGGCTCTCCTCGGTCTCCTTCTTGCGGTGCTGGCACGCTTGCCGCAGGCAGCTGGACCGTTAGGAGGAGGAGGGGGAGGAGGAGGGGGAGGAGGAGGGGGAGGAGGAGGAGGAGGAGGAAGAGGAGGAGGGCAATGCAACGGCCGCTGTCGGGCAAACGATGTGGGCAATTAGAACCGTTGGAAGGCCCGCGTTCGCTTCGAGTTCGACACCGACTCAAATCCAGAGCGAACAGACACTTCGGTCGATCATCGTCTTCATTCATTTGGTTCGTGTCTGTGCTGGCCTTCTCGAGCACTCCCCGGCACAACGACGAGATCGACATACATACATCATCGGAGTGAAGTAAAACATATGAGGTCTAGCGGGCCCGCTAGGCGTGCAGGGCGCAACGGCCATCCCATGGCGTTCTGGAACGCTCTCTGGGTCCGCCAATGTAACTTGTTGCACCACGCGATGCGCGTCGCGCAACTCTCTTCGCCCCCGCGTGAGGCCACCTCGCAGAAGAGCAGCTCTCCAGTCCAAGCCGCGACGCACGAAGCGCGATCATCTCCGCGTCGCTCTGCAGCGATCTACCTCCATCCCAGCACTGCCCGATGCCCGCCCCCGACAATAGAGAAAGAAAGAACTGCGTAAACATAACCTGTCGGATGGGGGCCCAGCGCCGATCACAGAAATCCGCGCGGAGCTCCTGAAGCTCATGCTCTTGCAACCCTCCCCTCTTCGACGAGAGCCTCGCCCCCAACTCCTGCGTCTGGTTCTTGTGAATCGTGGTGGACCCCTTCCGGCCGCCGGAGTCCTCCCAGCCGACCTCCACGAAATACTTGCTCGCCTGCAGCCCCGCCTTCTGGACCTCGGCCACCCCCCACGCGCCGCACCGACGCACGGCCACCGCGGCACACTCAGGGAGATGCAGGCCCCTTCCACCACCCATCGGGGGAGGAGGAGAAGGAGAATCGACGATCTAGGATCGAGGATCGAGAATCGAGGAGACTCGAGGATCGAGGGCTCAAATTTCTTGATAAGTTTGGACCTCCCTTGTGCCTCGTGAAGCCCAGGAGGCTTCCTGGGACCTCCGGAGAGCTCTGGGGACCCTGGACGCTTTGGTGGCCTCCGGGGGGAGGGAGGGAGGGACGAAAGAAGCGAGGAAGCGATATGACGGGCCCGTGCATCCAGGAGGGGGCCTTCGCCCCCCTGGCCCGTGCCCCTCGGCGAAAGCGTGGACTTTCTCGGGATACCAAATGCACCATAGGGGGGCTTTGTGAGGAATCGCCTGCAGCGCCACCCGCGCGGAAGTCCGAGAAACTTGGGGACTTCCGCGACGCGGGAGTTTCTCGAAATCCCCCGCGGCTGGTGGGAGAAGGTGGCGCGGGCGCAATTTCGGAAAACACCTGCGAAGCCTGGAACCTGAAGACGCGGGAGTTTCTCGCGCGTCTTCAGGCTCCAGGCTGCGCGGGGGGCCCGCGCGCGTGCGTGCGTGTGCGTGTGCGTGTGTGCGTGTGTGCGTGTGTGCGTGTGTGCGTGTGTGCGTGTGTGCGTGTGTGCGTGTGTGCGTGTGTGCGTGTGTGTGCGTGTGTGCGTGTGTGCGTGTGTGTGTGCGTGTGTGCGTGTGTGTGCGTGTGCGCGTGTGTGCGTGTGCGCGTGTGTGCGTGTGCGTGCGCGTGTGCGCGTGTGCGCGTGTGCGCGTGTGTGTGTGTGTTGTCTGTGTTGTGTGCGTGTTGTGTGTTGTGTGTTGTGTGTTGTGTGCAGTATGTTGTGTGTTGTGTGTTTGTGTGTGTGCGTGTGTGTTGTGTGTTGTGTGTGTGTGTGTGTGTGTGTGTGTGTGTGTGCGTGCGTGCGTGCGTGCGTGCGTGCGTGCGTGCGTGCGTGCGTGCGCGCGTGCGCGCGCGGGCGGGCGGGCGGGCGGGCGTGTGTGTGTGTGTGTGTGTGTATATGTGAATGTGTGCGTGCGTGCGTGCGTGTGTGCGTGCGTGCGTACGAGCGTGCGTGCGTGCGTCTGTGTCTGTGTCCGTGTCTGTGTCTGTCTATGTGTGTGCGTGGCGGCGTGCAGTGGGGGAGGGGAGTGGGCGGGGGGGGGGGAGAATTTCGAGGAACTCCTGCGCGGCTTTCAGGCTGACGATGCAGGAGTTTCTCGGAATTCCCCTCGGGGGGGGGGGGGGGCGGCCAGGCCACCGCGCACCACAACGCGCTCTCTCGCTCTCTCTCTCTCTCTCTCTCTCTCTCTCCCTCCCTCCCTCCCTCCCTCCCTCCCTCTCTCCCACGCATGCACTCTCACGCGCGCGCACCGTCCCCCCCCACGCCCCGCTGGGAAATCCGAGGAACTCTCGCGTCGCCAGTTGCCAAGCCGCGCAGTGGATTCTTAAAGTTGCGCCCCCCTCCCCCCGCACCCAGCGGGGAATTTCGAGAAACCCCCGCGTCGTCAATTTCCTAGCTGCGGAAATGTTTCTCGGAATGGCCCCCGCCCGCCCCCCGCCGCCGCGCGCTACCGCGCCCGCGTGCGCGCGCAAACATAAGCACAAACACAAACACAAGCACAATCGCAATCACAAACATAGGCACACACACAGACAAACATGCACATGCACATGCACATGCACATTCACATTCACATTCACATTCGCATTCACATTCACATTCGCGCACACACACACACACACACACACACACACACACACACACACACACACACGCACCCACGCATACACACACACACACACACCGCCTGGAGGGGACAAGATGGGGGGCAATTTCCAGAAACTCCTCCGCAACTTGGACACTGACGACGCGGTGGTTTCTCGAAATTCTCATGTGCGGGCGGGAGGGCGGCCGCGATTTCGAGAAACTCCTGCGCGGCCTGGGAACTGTCGATGCAGGAGTTTCTCGGGATTCCCCGCGGGGGTCGTGCCTTCCCCGCTCGGGCATCCCCGTTCTTTGTCATGTCCGCTTCGCGTCGGAGATCGCTCGTCTGAGCTCCCGTGCGCTCCTCACGTGATCGATCGGTTCTGACATCTGCTGTTGCTTCAAGTCCGATTCCACCTCCTGCTACTCCTGCTCCCACTCCTACTCTCCCATCCCCTCGGCTCACCCCCGCCTCCATTCCCTGTCATATTCCTGCGCCTCCTCACTCTGCCTAATCCTCCCTCATGCCTCCCCCTACTCCGATTCCTCCTGCCTCACCTCCGCCTCCGCCGACGACGAGCAAAGTACGAGAACGACGACAGCGGCGATCTGCAGAAGGCACCTATACGCCACCACCGTGCCTGGCCAAGACAATCCTGGGCCCCAGGATGGCGTATCGGTCTTCCTAGGCCAAGCCCAGGAAGGCGTACGTATACAGTTGGCACGCAACCAAAAGTCTCTCTACAAGGAATCCCTTCATCGACTCTGAGACTCGCAAGGTGCTACAGGGCTTTCAGGGCACAAAGTGAGACACGAAATTGCGACTGCTATCCTACGCGAGCGCTCCACCTGCAGCAGCTGATCTCCATGAGCAGCAGAATTTCAAAACATGACCGAAGCCCGACGCCATGGCCCTTTCCACGAGCGTCGCAAGCTTGCGAAAAGGAGCGAGGGAGGGGAAGGAGGAGAAGGGGTAAGTCAGATAAGACATCATCGTGGGACACCAGTTGACACGCCAGTTTCTTCCTTGGTGTGCCTACTCAGTGGGGGCATGATGACTTTTTCCTAGACGCGACGCTGGTGTACAGTTCGCGGCGTGCTGCTAGCGCGACCCTCTGCGGGATCTCCGAGGCGAATCGCTGCAGAGATGGGGAAGCGCTGCTGCAGTCCCGCCCATCCCGCCTGCGCTAAGCTGCGCACGCAACTATCTTGCCATAATCCGAGCCCATGGCAGTCTTCACATGATTCGCTAAGACAGGGAGCGGACACCTCCGTGGGCCCAGGACGGCCTCGCCGCGGCACGGCGGTGGCGTGCAGCTGCCACCTGCAGCGAGCGCGCCGGCGATCGGCAGCGGCGCTCGACCTCCAGCACGAGCTCGCCGGCGCCGGCGGGGAAGAAGAAATCCGGCGTCGTGAATCCCACGGCCAGGTCGCTGGCGGGCAGGTCCTCGGCAAGGTTGCGGCATCCGGACCCTGCCCCGACCAACCATCGATTCTCCTGAATCGCTGGGAAGCGGGGGCAGAGTTCGGATTTCGCCATGTGCTCGACGACTTGCGAACCCTAACCCCGCCGCCCATCGAGTTGTCTGAATCGTTGATCGGCGAGAGTAGTCTTCGGATTTCGCTGCCGATCCTTGGAAGGGTTTGCGATCAGAAGGCAACACCTGAGGGAAGTCTTCGTGGGACGATCAAGCCCGACCGAAGGGCTGCTGAAACGACCTTAGCCGGATTAAGATCAGGGCTTGGCTGGAATAGAACAGATTTCACCCGACTGAGCCGTCTTTCGACCACGGATATGCCAGCGCTGATGCTGCAGAATTCCACATCCCCAGAATTTCAACTTAGCTTGGCGTTGCGCAGAAGCCGCCCCCCGCGGTGGTCCCGTCTGGCCCGACGAGGCCCTCCTATTCTTCCTCCTCCTCCTCCCTCACCCTTCCCCCCGTCGTGCGGGTCGGCGCAACAGCGCGCGTGCGCATCTCAGTCTGCACTGCAGAATGGTCTATTGAATCAGTCCACCTCGCACTTGGACGGCCAACTCTGTGGGAGCCTTCTGGACGCAGATGGGAGGAGTCAGGATGATCCAGCGGCGCTCCTTTTTCCGTAAGGAATCCTTTCCAAATCCTATAGTAAACGTGTGTGTTTCTGTGGAGCCCACAGGCGCTTCATTTTGTCATCGGAATCTATTCTAAGATGCTATGAACAAAAATTGTGCTCTGTTACTCACGGTTGCTGTGGTGCACACAGGCGCCGTGTTGTCCACAGGCGCTGTGGCGCACGCTGGCATTGCGGTGTACACGGGTGCTGTGTTGCACACGGCTGCTGTGGTATACGCATGAGTTGTGGTGTACACAAGAGCTGTGGTGCACAGAAGCACTGTAATGCACATCAGCGCTGTGTTGCATGTGGCTGCTGTGGTGTATATAGGCGATGTGCTGTACAAAGGCACTGCGGTGCATGCAGGCACGGCGGTCACAAAGGCGCTGTGGTGCAGATCGCCACACACATGCTGCTGCTACCCGTCCTCGGTCATTCCTAGGCATTCCCAGACGCCGCCGGCGCGAAATGTGACGTCATCGGTCCCCTCCCTCCCCAGGTGACGGCCGCCATCGCCCCGGAAAAAAACTGGCTTTATTACATACAAGCATGTACAAGAAACTAATATGTATTCCGATCAGACTTGTGTTACATACGTGCGTCACAAACACGCACGTCTCACAACCATACGTGTATCGTCTACGTGTATGTCTATAACAAAGATAACATGCATTACAAGCAAACGCATACATACATACATGTATTAGACCGACACATCATGATACATCCACTGCATACGAGCAGATCGGGGTAGCGCTGCCTGCGGGCAGACTACCACCTCACTCCACAACAAGCCACCTAAGTGCAATATCTAGTCTTAGATCGTACAAGAACATGTGTTTAGGGGAGTCGTCTTTTTCTGGGGCCGGGGATGAAGCTGGCGGCAGGTGTCGCTAGCAGCACGCCAGGGACAGGTGTTCCGATCATGCCACGGACAGGTGTTCTTCCCAGAATGCCGGGGACGCCAGCGCCGCCGGCCCGGGGGTGGAGCCCAAACAACCAAGAAAGAAACATGTGTTTGCGGGGGTCGTTTTCTGGGGCCGGGGCCGGGGGGACCGGGGCCGGAGTCCAAAGGTAATCAAATACTGAGATGACCGCTGGGATTCCTCAGGGGGTTTAGAAGCGGATGCTGAGGTGGGTTATATCTGGTCGAACCTAACATACACACGTGGGTTACAAGCGCCCTAACTGGTTTAAGGGGGTTAACGATCCGTGCAAGGTGGGCTCCGCCCACTTAGCGGAACCATCTAACTCCCCTGAAACACCGAGGGCACCTGTAACACGCTTAGAAACTAGGTTGGGCAAGATATCACACTCCCGCGTCTAAGTACCTTATTCTCTAAGCAACCCCAGCGGTCATCTCAGTAGTAAAGACATTTGTTCGGGGACTCGTTTTCTGGGACCGGGGCGGGGGCCAGAACCGAGGCCAGGGCCGAATCGATGAGCCTCAGAGCGTGTGTTGGCGCCAACGTGCGTTTGTCCACCGAGACCCTTCAATACGACGCATGCGGCACAACAATAGCCGACGCAGACTGCGCGCTATCAGCGGAGAGCCGAACGGGGTAAACAAACGATCGGGCTAACACGCCTCCTGAGGACCATCGACCGGGAGGCTGTCCCAGAATAACGGGAAAGCCGGCGCCAGGGCCGCCGCCCAAAGGCAATCAGGTAATACACAAAAAATTGTTTGGGGAACTCGGTTTCTGGAGCTGAATACAAGCCCAAGGCCGGGGCTGGAGTGAAGGCTGGAGATGGGGCTGGGGCCAAGGCCAAGGCCCGGGTCAAGAGCTGGGGCCACATTCCGGGAACAGAAGTGCTACGTGTCGCTGCCTGCTGCGCCCTGTTGCTGCTACATTCCTCTGACGAACTTCTGAATCTCCGAAGCCCGAACCTGTCCCTCTGCGCCCCTCTCTCTGCTGATGCTCTGCTGCCTCTGTTGTTTCCAGCCACCCTTTGGTGTTGGGCCCTCGTTTCGAAGAAACAGAGCCCCGCGTTCTCCTTCCTCCTCTCCTCCTCCTTCACGTCCTTCTTCCTCCTATCCGTGCCTGTGCCCTCCGCACCAAGTACAGCGCCATCGTGGCCCCATAGGAATTCCAACCCATTAGAGCGTTTCGTGGCCCCACCGGGGACTCCACCGAAGGCCTCAGTGGCGGTGTTCGCGTGCGTCTCCCCCACCCAGTACAACGCTTCGTGGTAGGGAGCTCCACCACAGGGCCCTGTGGACGTGTTCGCATGCGCTTCCCCCGCCCAGTACGGCGTGTCGTGGCCCCATAAGGAGCTCCACCGAAGGCCCCAGTGGCGGCGTTCGCGTGCGCTCCTCCCACTCAATACGGCGCTTCGTTGCCCAATGGGGAGCTCCACCCGGCCCCAGTGGCGGTGTTCGCATGCGTCCTCCCCCATTCGGTGCAGCGCCTCGTGGTCCCAGAGGGATCTCCACCGCAGCGCCTCAGTGGCCGTGTTCGCATGCGCTTACTCCATACAGCGCTTCGTGGCCCCATGGGGAGCTCCACCGAGAGGCCCCAGTGGCGGCGTTCCAATGCGTTTCCCCCGCCCTGTGCAACGGTACGCTTCCTCACAGGGAGCTCCACCGAAGGCCCCAGTGGCGGTGTTCGCGTGCGCTCCCCCCATTCCGTGCAGCGCTTCGTTGCCCCATGGGGAGCTCAACCGGAAACCCCTGTGGCGGCGTTCGAATGCGCCTCCCCCACCCAATACAGCGCTTCGTGGCCCCACAGGGAGCTCCACCGAAGGCCTCATTGGCGGTGTTCACATGCGTCTCCTCCACCCAGCACAGCGCTTCGTGGCCCCTTTAAGTAGTTCCACCGAAAAGCTTACACGTCGAATCGCCCCCTTGCGAAACTGGCCATATCATCCTCCGCTGTCTTTCTTCTCATGTTCCCCTCCCTCCTTCGTGCGTCCCTCCCGCCCTCTCCTCTTTTTCTCTCAGTCTCTCTATGTCTCTATATATGTCTCGCTCTCTCTCTCTCTCTTTCTCTGCCTCTCTCTCTCTCTCGTTTTGTCTCGTTTTTGTTTGTCCTCCTCTTCCCTTCATTCTCGTCGCACGGCGAGTGTCTTCACTTCAGTGCGAATCCTCCCCGATCCAGACCTGACAGATGGTGGTGGTACTCGGCGGGGAGGGTGAGGGGAGGGACAGAACGATTCCGATGCCCCCCCCCTCCCCCAGGAGGAGGAGGATGACGCGGAGGCGGAGGCGGAGGAGGAAGAGGGAGTAGGAGGAGACACAACGACGACAACAAGGACCACGGCGACTGGTGAGCCGTCCGCACAGCCAGATGGTAGCTAGGGCGCCCCAGCGTCCCCAGGCATCCTTGCTAGAGTACTTCTACAACACCAGGGCTCTACAGAAGCAGTATTCTTACTACAATACTACCGTACGACTACTACAGAAATTCGTAGAATACTACGGCTATTACAACTACGACTACCACTACTACCACAGTGCAGCATCTTCAGAGCTGAAGTGCGACAGAACTACCACCGTACTAGACTACTACATGTTGGTGGCCTCCAACTGCGCTCCTAGGGGTTCCCCTGTACTAGGGTACGACTGCTGCTACAGTGCTGTGGTACTGCTACGACGGATGTGCTTCTGCAGCGCTACAGCCCCTGCTGCAGTTCTCAGAGTACTGCCACTACGGCAGCACGGTTTACACTCCAGCATGGCAATACTGGGGTGCTACTACAATGCTACAACTACGGTCAGACGAGAGTACAACTGTTCAATCACTGCCGCCAGTTCTCGACAACTACAACTACACTACTACAATGCAGCAAACTCCATAGAACACAAGCGATAATACTGCTGCTACAACGTTACTACTACAGTACTTCCGTTCCACAATGCCACTGCTACAACCAATGGCATCATACTTTAATCAGTATATTGCTAAAGGCTCTACTGCTACGGCGACGACTACGATTGCGACTACTAGTACGACGACGACTACTACTACTACTACTACTATTACTACTACCACCACTATTACTACTACCACCACTACTACTACTACGACTGCTACTACTACTACTACTACTGCTGCTACTACTACTACTATTACTACTACGACTACGACTACTACAACTACAACAACTACTACTACTACTACTACTACTACTACTACGACGACGACGACGACGACGACGACGACGACGACGACGACGACGACGACGACGACGACGACGACGACGACGACGACGACGACGACGACGACGACGACGACGACGACGACGACTACTACTACTATACTACTACTACGACTACCACTACTACTGCTACTACTACTACTACTACTGCTACTACTACTACTACTACGATTACTAGTACTACTACTGGTA